TTCGTTATTTGATTTTGTTTAAATTTTACAGAAAAATTATTTATTTTCTATCATTTATTAAATTTCTTTTCTTTGAAACACTAATTCCTTTAACAATTACTATCCACTATTTACTTCTAAGGTATCACATAACAAAACATTTTTATAATTTATTATAAAATATAGTGTCCCGAAAGGTTGCTGTTAAATTGATACAGCATATGTATTTAGGTCAAATAAATGAAAACATTTGATATGAACCCATATCCAAAAACTCATTAACTCCTTAATCCTCGGAGTAATAGATCCGTGCCTGAATATATTTAAAACCACGTTTTGAAGAGCTTCGTCAAACTTCTCGCTCGATGACTGTCTTAACCCATCTTAGGCAATTGTTTTATATTAGAGCCAATAAAGCAACCTGCATGTCTTAAAGAAATTAAGTCTTTAATCAGTGTTCAGTTCTGCATCTCGAAGGAAAGACGTATTTGCTCGTATTGGCAATACAGATTTAATTTCTTTTACAAGTAAGATTTATGTAGGTATTATGTGACAATTGCCAAAGATATATATGCAATATATATTTTAAGTTAAGAAATACCCAAATAATTTAACATTAAATATTTTTACGATTAACACGCATTGGTAAAATGGAACATGGATCTACTTATTTTTATTTTAGATTCAGTAGAAAAAGGTTTAGTTGAAATTGGTGACCCCATAAATATAACCACTTCTTGCTAATAGAAATTACGTATTTTTAACATATACCACTTACTTTTTTCATCTGCCTTAACTAAATGTCTTTGATTCACTTTTGCATTACTTTTGACAACTCTGAAAAAAAGAAATAATTATTTTTCTTGTTAAAAAAGTGTCGTAAATGTTAATAAAATATAAATTAAGAAGAATGATAATTTATTTTACGTATGTATATAATTATGCTACCATCGCTAACGTGTATTTATTGAAATATTTCTGATATTATAAAATTTACTTTAGACATTTTTATGCAATATGAATAAATAATCTGTATGATCATTGTACAATTATTTATGCAATGAGGATTATAAATAGATCATTGTTTTTTCATTTTAATTTCTTTAATTATAAGTGTATAGTATAAGATAATTAATAAAATACAAGTTATATTTTAATTTAAAAAAAAAGTAATGTTTGAATCGTTATTCGAGTCTTCCGGATTAGAACTGTACCCAATGCTTATTGAATTTCAACCATAATGATTATCAGTCTCGATACCCCGATGAAGTTAACTACAATGTTGGCGAAATATTTCAAACAATTCAAGTAATTCAGGCCGTGAAAGCCTCAAATGTCTCAAAAGTTGTTTTCTTTTCTTTCTTTTTGAAAAATAAAAAGATTTTGTTTTGATGATAAAAAATTTACTTTATATATGTTGTAAATACTTACTCATTCACAACTCCTTTAAAAGCAGATTGCACTAATCTTGCAGATTGAATTGGCACTGTCCTATTTAACCTTTCCGCTCGTCTTCTACTTAACTCAGTTCGTAAATCACTTTCTTTATCAACTACTAAATCTTCAAAAATGGCGTCCATGTCCTCACTCGATCCATCCGAAGTAACATCTTTGCGTTTCTTACACTTCTTATCTTTCCCAATACGCTCAGAAAGAGGAAGTTCATTTTTTAATTTTCCCACTTGATATAATTCTTTATCACGTTTCTTTTTTTTCTTCGATGATTTTTCTTTCTCTGTTTTTTGAGTCTCTAAGTCTACACACGAATTAACAGAGCTTGTAATAGCAATGGGAGAAGTATTTTCCATACTTTCTTCAAAATCGTCAAATTCATAATGAGTGTCTAAACACAAATCTGTTTCTTGAATATCATAATCCTCTGTAATTTTGTTAATCTTTCTTACATTTCCTGACTGTACTTCTCCCCCTTCTAAAGAATCTACTTTCTTGCTTGTGTTTTCCTTTTTGCTTAATTTGATTTTTTTATTAGCATTTATTGGATCTATAGGCCTTGTGGATTCAAACTTTCTTCGCCTGGCTTCTAGCACAGGATCATTAATTATATCAACAGTTTCTTTTTCTATTATAACAGTTTTCTCCAAATTTTCTTCTTTTTGTTTCGTTTTCACACGATTTGTTTCTGGAGATATTCTGCTTTTAATTACTGGCGATGGTTCTTTCGTATACAATGGACTATCAGTTCCATCTGGTGTAATAGATCGTGGTCCATGTTTTCGAGACAATTCTTTAGGTGACCATCTTGGAGATCTTTTTCGTCTAGGAGATAAACGAGGTGAATTTCTTGGTGATGACCACGGTGATCGACGTGGTGATAGCCTTGGTGACCGCGACCGAGGTGACATTCTTCGCGGTGATATTTTTGGTGACATTAAACGTGACGATCCTCTTCGAGGAGACAATCCCGGAGATTTTGATTTAGGTGATAATCTGCGAGAGGGCGACATTCGTCTTGGGGATAACTTAGGTGACCTTAATCTTAAAGGTGACCTAGACTGAGGAGATAATCTAACTGGCGAAAATTTTGGAGAACGTGATCGTGCCAATCTTGGAGATTTAGTTAAAGATGCTTTAGGTGAGCGTAATGGCCTAGGAGATCTGGAATGCGGTGAAAGTTTTGGAGATCTTCCTCTTGGAGACAATCTCTTAATAGGTGATCTTCTTATTGGAGATTTGTTTGGAGATCTACGCGGAGATAATCGTGGTGATCTCGATCGCGATGAGAGCTTAGGTGATCGTGAACGCGGAGAATATCGTATTGGTGATTTTCGAGGTGATCTGTACCTCGTTATTTCCCGTTGAGACTTTTTTGAATGTTTAATGGGCGATCTTCTAGGGGATCTTCTAGGTGACTTTTTCCTTGATCGTGACCTTGGCGATAACGATCTACGTTTTTGTGAAATACGACTAATTGCGTGTGGCGATGTAGACTGTCTTTCATTCTTCAAAATTATTGCTGCTGGAGCTGGACTATAACTCTCTTTTCGAATATTGCTTTCTTCTGTTCTATTTTTCTGACTAACATTTTTGCCTGCCTCATCCTTTTTTATAGGTTCCCTGTTTTCTTTTCTGTTACTTTTCTTTTCTTTCCTTTCGGACGGCTTATCAACGTTTATTTCCCTTTCCATTTCATCCATTAACCGTTCTAAACTATCTTCTTCTTCGAGATCAGCCATTAAAAGGATATCATCATCATCATCATTAATTCCATCTTGATCTTCTTCTGTTTTCTTCGAATTTTCTGTAGTTTCCATCTGATTTTCAACTATTGTAGAAGATGTTTTCATATCTGCACCTTTCTCAACAGTTTCAGTTTTTGTAACTGTATTTTTCTGTTCTTTATTATCTTCTTCATCTGAACCACTCCCATTGTCTTTAAAACGATGAAATTTTGTTACTTCTGAAAATATTGTTTTCATACAGTATATAAAAGGAATAATAGAAGGCAAACATTATAGTATTAAATATCTTTATAATACAGCATTCTACATACCAGTCGAATAAGATTCAATACTTGGAGCTGCCTTTTCTACTGAACAAGCTAACTCAGTTTGTTGCAACACAGAACGTTCATCTACAGGAACTATTGCTATCAAATTTGGATTACGTGGGCTCTGATAGTATAAATTCTGTAAATAAAAGACATACATATAATGTTTAAATCAAATTTATATTTATTAAGTACTTACTAGTGAAAAAAAAATTTAACCCCTTGCCTTATAATTTTTGTATTGTTGTAT